CAAACCATCACTGTGCAAGCACAGAGTCTTTCGATCTAGTCAGCTTCGATCTTATGGGGAAAGAAGGTACATCTTTTCATTTCGACCATGCAGACTGTTGGTGCTACTTCGACGAGGCAAATGCAAGAATGACAAAACGTGGCGCCGGCGTTCCCGTCCGGATAAGGTCGCCACATGAGTGGTTCCCGAGCGCAGTGCCAGTCGCCCGCCACTATCCGGATACCTCTCTCCAGAGCCAATCGAATCGCACCACGAGCACCAGTGCGAAACGGCGCGGTTGCGATGGATGAAAACACGCAACGTTTCCGCTCCTGGTGTCATCTTTTGATCAAGCCCATGGCCTGGCGTCGCTGCTGTCGTCGTCAACAGTGTTGTAATTAGGATGAATGATACGAGTTGTAACAAGGAAGAGAGGTGGAGAGCGCAGCGCGTCGTAGGCTTCATGTTGAAGCTGCGGCGTGGTCGATCCGAGCAGGTCGTTGCACGCAAAGGGCACTCTAGACAGATTGATCTCGCGCGAGAAGGTGCTTGAGTTGTAAAAACAAGGTGCCACAAGCGGTAACGTCAAGTGCATTGAGAACGGTAGAGCAACGACACGTGCGTGAAGCTCTATACAAATACTTATGCTTCACCGCACGAATGGACAGCGTGGAGCAGTTTGTCCCGCGACTTTTTGCTGGCATTGTTTCTAGAAACAAGGCGGTGTCCGTTCCACGGCATGCATAAGCTAGTCGGCATGTGCGCATTTGTATGAAAACGTCGCCGGCCTAGACCTAATAAGATGCGCTGGGCGGTTGGTATGGGCACGGAAAGGCACGATCGATTTGAGCCACAACTGCTTCCTTTTGTATCGATCGCCTCGTCCTTCGATCGATGTTGGCGCTGAGGTGAGATTGCAGTCGTACGAAAGTAGCGCTCGTACTGGTGGCGCTGTATTCATTCACCTATGGCTTGCACACGACGCAGTATGTGTTGGGATGCAAACGAACGGAGCTTCGTGTTGTGGCGAAAATTTATCGACGTAGCGCTCTTCCGAGGGGTGCTGTTCCTGGTACTTGGCGACGGTAAACATATCGCTCGCGACCTCAGGTCGGGTCTTCGTTTCGATTCGGACGGTTGGACCAACTTTGACGTTGCATGGCAGCGCAATGCGACCTCGTACATCCACCATACACTACCAGGGCCTTGAGACTTTGTGGTAACCTATATTCCGCATGCGTCGGTTCTCTCACACAACCTGCGGCGCATTCTTTTAGCCTTACGTACACGCGCTCGTTGTACCGGTCGTCGAAGGTGGTTGTGCGTGATGTAGACCATGCGACTCGGGACGTGACTGTCCCGAGTCGCACCAGATTCTACTGCATGACCCGGAAAGTCGAATAGGTTTCGAGCCTCGGGCTAGCCGACCGCCAGGATGAATTTGTCGCTCGAGGGCGTCGACTCTTCCCCGAGCCTTTTGTTGCCAACAGGGTAGCGTGATGTACATAACACGCCACAGAGTCTGCGGTCAAACGAGCTGTACCTAGACCATGTACTCCATACAACCAATCCAACCCCTACTGCGATGTACGCAGACAAGCACCACTGATGTCCGCCTATCGTTACCGAAACATAGCGTTCGATGCACATATTTATGGTGCATTGTACGACCGCCAGCCCATGCACTGTTATGGCCTTGCGAGTCCTCGTGCATATTGGACGATCGTGTGGTCGAGAGAATGTTGGGTGACCCATTACGGTTTCTTTGGTGCGAGCAAGTACGCTCAAAGACATGGCAGGCATGTGATGCATCTATATCTGCCCAGTGAGCCATTGAGCACATGCACTCTGCCTCGAATGTGCAGTCGCTACTGTCCCCAGCCGCAGTATCCTGCCCACGCTCCGATTCAAATTTGCCCGCGCGAATGGCCTTTTCGAGGCATGTGATTGGCTACCTATAGAAACGGCGCGCGGCAAACCAATTTCAGCCAATAAGAATCGCCATTGCATGCACACCCTGGTGTCATGTGTGTGAACTTGACGGCAATAATATGGTACAGCTCAAGAGCGCTGCGCTTGTGACGACGATCGGCGCTTGGGCACGGTACGCGGCGCGGGTAGCAGTCGGTGTGGGGGTTTCGCCAGCTTACAGATTGATTCTGATTGGGCAAAAATCGCGTGACATGGACGCAGATTGGCTAAAAAGGAAACGCGGCAAAAAGTGCGCGCAAACGAGCATGTTTTTGGCCAATCAGCGACGACGTATTTTCAATTTCAAACCCGGACGCAAAATTATTTTCCGACTTTGACGCCCAGGATGGAACCTCTGGCCTCCCCGACCGCGACGTGGAAGCGTCAGAAGAAGTTCACGCCGACGCGGTCCGTCGTGGCGTCGCCTCAGGCCATGAAGACGCGCAGTCGCCGGACGTGCCAAGCGCTCCTCTTCAGCCCCGAACCCGAGCCGGCGGCGAAGCGCGTCAAACTGGATATCGCCGAGAGCCCCAAGACCGAGGTCGAGGACGACGCCGCCACCGACGACGTCGGCGAGGAGGTACTCACGGGCTTTACGAGCAGCTCCAAGATTGAAGACGTCGGCCTCTTCAATTGCGACCAGGACGTCGAGTTTTCCGGTGGGCTCTACGGCGAAGGCACCGACGGCAAGGTGAGCGCGTGCAGCGTCCACGGGCAAAAGGTCGCTTTGAAGCGCGCCAAGCCCCACGACGGCTTTACGAAGGAGCAGGCCAAGCACAAGACGGCCGTCGAGCTGCACTACCTGCGCCGCGTCCGGCACAAGCCTGGCTTCATCCAGTGCCTCGGTATGTGCGACGGCATTGAGCACACGTGCATCGCGCTCGAGGTCATGGACTGCAAGCTCAGCGACTACCAGCGCAAGCGCATGGGCCATAAGAAGCCGTTTCCGCAAGCGGTCGCGCACCGATTGCTCAAGCAGATTGCGCAAGCCATGATGATCCTGCACGAAGAGGTTGACGCGGCCCATGGCGACCTCGCTTGCCGCAACATCCTCGTGCGCATGCCGCCCAAGGGCTTCGAAGACAAGTTCGACCCTGAGATCAAGCTCAGCGACTTTGGCCGCATCAAAACCAAAGACGACGAGCCGCCGATCCTCAAGTCCAACTTTAGCTTTTACAAGAACGCAGACGTCGGTTCCTTTGGCCGGGACGTACTCTACCGTCTCCTCGTTGGCGACGTGCTTCCGGCGACGGCGCTCGAGTCGCGGTCGCTCCACCGCCTCCTCCAGGACAGCGTCGTCAAGGCGCTCCCGGACGGCGCCGCGGCCGCCCTTGGTCCGTACGAGCATCTCTTTAAAAAGTGCGTCGCGTGGGGCGTGCGCCCGTCCTTCCGCATGATCCACGACCACCTCGAGAGCCTCGAGGTCTTTGAATCGTTTGAGAATGGCCTCTTCCCGCTCAAGCCCAACCTCTCGCAGACGCCGACGTCGACGACGAAGAATACCGGAGCGGACCCATCGCTTGTCTCGCCCAACCTCGACGGCATCAAGCGTAACCTGGCCTACCAGCTCTCGTCGCAGAGCAAGTCGGTCTCCAAGAAGCAGCTCGACATGCTGTACCAATCGCCGCCGGCCAAGACCAAGGAAAACGTGACGCCGGTGGCCGAGAAGGTCAATTGGCTCAGGCCGCGCTCCGTGGGTCCGACGACCGCGACAACATCGACGAGTGCGTCCAAGCCCGGCGGGGCGTCGCGCCGGTCGCTCAAGATTCTGAGCGAGATCTCCAAGCAGCGCTATCGCAGCAACAAGCAGCCGTAGACATTGTCCATTCGCCTTATTTAACCAACTGTCCATACACCTTCATTGATGTACGTGCGTACCTACACACATGCGCAACACCATCTCCATGAGTCACCGCCAAACAGAGCGTCCTCCCCCTCGACGTCTTCGAGCCGTGTTGTGGTGGTTGACCCGGCTCCTCTTGTGTGGTCGCAGTTGTCGATTCAAAAGTCCATGCGTGGGGCTTCAAGCAGCTCGCACACGTCGAGCCCTCGTCGATCGACGCTTGCCGATCGTCTCGATCGCCGCGGCTGTGGCTCGGTCATGGCCACCGGAAACCGCGCCATTTTTATCCGGCTCGCAACGGCGCGGTTGGTTTATCCGGATAATCGACCTGGGGTGCATGTTCCGAAGATATCGCCATCGGCCCGCAGCAGCATGGGACGAAACGGATCGAAGCGCCGGCGCGGCCGCCATGCCGAGGCGATCGACGTGGAAGACCATGAGGACGAGGGAGACCGCATGGATATCCTTGCGCGGCTGCCACAGAGGGTACGAGGAAGGATGCAGGGACCGTCGATGACGCTCCGTAGGACGACGCGATGGACGAGGACGATGCGGACGAGTACGAAGAAGCGGTCGACGGCGAAGAAGCGGTCGACGACGATGAAGGTGGCGACGGCGAGAGCGATGATGTCGAGGAGAATGATAACGACGACCATGGTGACGAAGACGACGACGACGACGACGACGAGGAAGACGAGGCAGCGCAAGAGGTGGCACCGACGTATCCACGGCGCCACTCACACAACCCCACAGACGAAGACGACGATGTCGTTGTCATCAAGACGGACCGGCGAACGACGCATGTACGACCTCAAGTCGCCATGGGTTGCACCTCAATCCCTACGGTACTAGGACCTAGCCGAGCGCCGAGCGTCGCGTCGATCCTCGCGTCGATCGTCGCTCATCGACGACAGTGAAGTGGACGCTGCGTTTGTCGCCGAAGAGTCGCGTCGTGCGCGACGCAATGAGGTCATTGCCGTCGACGAAGCGCCCGCTGCAACGTCGCGTAGCACCCGACGGAGCCGACGCGCCGATCATGAAGACGACGCAGGCGATGAGGACCATCGCCACGAGCGCTCGTCGCGACGCCACACGCGCCGGTCCAACGACGTGCACGAAGACGAAGACGAGGACGAGGGCCAGCAGACGCCACCGACGACCAAAGCGTATGCGTTCCGGAACCGGTCGCAGCGCCACTTTCGCTACACGCCGGACGAGCCCGTGAAGCGCTTGAAGCGTGAACCCGTCGTCGACGACGGCAACCAGTCATCCGAAAGCACGCGGCACACGCAAGCGATGGACCGGGCGCGGCGCTACGCGTTGCGGCAGCAGCAGCACCGTGAGGACGGGTTTCTCGAACAAGCTGCGGCCGGCGCGCACCACAAACCGAGTCGGCGACGCCCGAAGCGCATCCGTGAGCTCTTGGACGAAGTCGAGTCGCTTCACGCGGGCAGCGACTCACCGCCGCCGCTGAACCTCAGTGCTGGCTACTCGCTCCGCAACCGCAACACGATCCGGCGAACCGTCTCGACGTACGAGACGCTGGCGGCGGCCGAGGCGCGGCCATCGTCCAAGTCGTCGAGCAACCCCTACAGCGACTACTTGAGCCGGCGCAGCAAGAAGGAGTACGAGCCGCCGCGGCATCGGCGCCAACGCAAACCCGCAGGCAGCTCGTCGGACGACGACGAAGACCGCATCGTGAAGCGGCACAAGCGCGAAGTGCACGCCATCTTGCCTCTCAACGAGACGTCGGGGAAGAATGGGCAGCTGCGCGCGGACGTGGCCCCGATCGAAATCGACAAGTCGGTCAATTGGGACTCGGTCGGCGGTCTCCATGCGCACATCAACGCACTGACAGAGATGGTGCTGCTGCCGATGCTGTACCCCGAGTTTTACACCAAGTACGGCGTCGCGCCGCCCTCGGGCGTGCTCTTTTACGGCCCACCCGGCACGGGCAAGACGCTCATGGCGCGCGCGCTCGCCAACAGCTGCACGGACCAGCACATTACGTTTTACATGCGGAAAGGCGCCGACTGCTTGAGCAAGTGGGTCGGCGAGGCGGAGCGCCAGCTGCGGCTTCTCTTTGAACAAGCCAAGCGCACGCAGCCGTCCATCATCTTTTTCGACGAGATCGACGGCCTCGCGCCCGTGCGCAGTGCGAAACAAGACCAGATCCACGCCTCGATCGTCTCGACGCTGCTCGCCCTCATGGACGGTATGCCCCGGGTCACGAGATGATGGAACGGTGTGGAGCATGGGTGTATGTGCTAGGTCTCGATGGCCGCGGCCGCGTCATTGTGATTGGCGCCACAAACCGGTTGGATGCGATCGACCCGGCCCTGCGCCGCCCCGGTACGCACGTGCTATGTGATGACACTTGAGATATATATGTATGCGTGCAGGCCGCTTTGATCGCGAACTCGGCTTCACCTTGCCCAACGTCGAGGACCGAGCTGCGATGCTGCAGATCCACACCAAGTGCTGGCAGCCGCCGCTTGCACCCACTTTTCGCATGGAGCTGGCCAAGCAGCTGCATGGCTACTGCGGCGCCGACATCAAAGCCCTCTGCGCAGAAACCGCCCTCGTCGCGCTCCATCGCACATATCCCCAAGTGTATGCGAGCACGGCCAAGCTCGCGATCGACGCGGCTTCGATCCAGATTTCTCGCGCCGACTTCCACGTTGCGTTCCAAAAGGTCAAGCCCGCATCCCACCGCAGCCACCAAACGCTCGCGCAGCCGCTGCCGACGATGCTCGTTCCGCTCCTCGACGTACGGTCTCGACTTGCATGGGCTAGACCAACCAATACCTACGTAGGACGTTCTGGAAGCCCTCGTCGAAAAATTGCGGCCGCGTTCCCGATTGCGATCCAATCGTTTGATCGATCGGCCACGCCAGCGGCCCACGCAGGCGCGTCATCGGGTCCGTCCATTTTCCTTGTCGAGCACCACGACGCATTGTGCCATGCCTGCGGTCTCGAAGTCGACGATGCGCCTGCTCTGCGCTGCGAGACTTGTCCGCGCTCGCAGCACATGGCGTGCGCTCCGCCGTCGGGTGCCGTGTGCGGCGACTGCGCCATGGGTGCGCTCGTCGTACCGTCGGCGCAGTTTGCCACCGCGCAAGCGACGCGTGTCTTGGTGCACGGCAGTGACGGCATGGGCCAGAGTCCGCTCCTTGCGGCGCTCTTGCACCGTTTTGAGCGCCTCCTCGTCTTTTCGCTGGACCTGCCATCGCTCTTGAGCGACATCAACCACCACAATCTGGAAGAAGCCATGCTCGGGCAGCTCAAGGAGGCCAAGAAGAGCACGCCGAGCATTGTCGTCTTGCCCAACGTGGATGTGTGGTGGCACCACACGAGCGTGACGGCGCATGCGCTTCTAGAGATGTTTCTGCGCGACTGCCAGCACCTGCCGCTACTCTTGCTCGCCACGTCATCGACGCCGGTTGCATCCCTCCCAACCGAGCTGCAGCGCCTCTTTGGCGTTGCCTCAACGGTCACCGTAGCTGTGAAGTCCCCGTCGACAGCGTCGCGCAAACGACTCTTCCAAGCAGTGTTTACCGCCTTTGTGCGACCGCCCGTCAAGGCCCCGAAAGCGCCGGCGTCGATTCCGCTGCTGGCGCCCGTGGTGGCGCCGATCAAGGAAGACGTGATCATCGTCGACGATGCGCTGACGCTGCGGCACGAGCAAGAAGCGCACCACTTGCGTGAGCTGCGCATCTTTCTCGGGATGGTCATCGACTATTGCATGGAGCAGAAGAAGAACGCGCCATTTCTGTATCCGGTCGACCCGGACGAAGTGCCGTCCTACTATAGCGTCATTACGCGCCCCATGGACCTGAGCTTCATGCGCGAGAAGGTCAACGACGGCGAGTACGACACGTACGAGAGCTTCCTCAAGGACATTCAGCTCATTGTGCGCAACGCCAACGAGTTTAACCCGCGCGGCTGCCCAACCCGGTACGATCTTTGCCGAAAGACCTCCGTCATTCTCATGGACGCTTGTAGCTACGTGGCGCACGCGGCGGCGGCCATGCAAGACAATGTCATGAGCTTTGGCCATCGTTTCCGACAGCAGCAAGGCTACGACTTGTTTGCCAAGTGCCGCGAGATCAGCAAGCAACGCGAGAAGGAGGCCGGGAAGCCGCGCCAGCGGCGCTTTGCACCCGCGCGCAAATCGCAGCGCATCATGGAGGACGACGACGAGGGCGGCGAGAACGACGCCGTCCACGAGACGACTGTCGACGAGCAAACCGTCCCCGAGCAACCGGATGCGACGCCAGAATCGTATGCATCATTCGAAGTCGGCGACAAGGTGTTTGTGGAGAAGCGCACGATGCCAGGCATGAACAAGCTCGGCGGCGCTGGCATCGTCACCGACGTCCACATGAGCACGGACGACGACGACGATGAGGCCGTGCCGCACTACTCTGTCAAGTACGTCATCCTCGGCGGTCTGGAGAAGCGGGTACGTCGACCACGCCTGCTGCTCGGAACGACAGGGTGTATGATGATGTAGATCCATCCCAAGTACCTCCGTCTCTTGACCGACGACGTGGTGAAAGACTCTGTCACGATGAAGCGGTCGGACCCGTCGCTTGCGACGCGCTCGGAAAGACAACCGGCGCAGCAGAGCGCTGCGTCGCTCGAGAAGCACCACTTTGATTCGGTGCTTTGGCCGACACTGTACCAGGAAGGGTGGGAGCGCGTGCCGTGGGCCGACCCGACAAGTGACAAACCAAAGTGGATCCTCGTCTCGACCGTGCCGCCGTCGGCGCCCGATGTGTGGACCAACGAATTTATGGACTCGGTGCAGGACCTCGTGTGGTTTACGTCCCGCAAAGCAGCGCTGGCGTACATCAAGTCGGACGCGAATCTCTCGGCCAAGTGTTTTGGGCAGCGCTTTCTGGACGAGAACGCGACGACGCCGGTGAGCCCCCGCCACGCCTGCAAGGCGCGACTCGAGGACGAGCAACGACAAGCCGCCGAGACGTTTCGCATGGCGCAGGAGGACAAGCCGGCAGTCGCGGCGATTATCGAAACCCTCGTCGACGACGCAGCGAGTTGCGACCCGGCGTTCGTCTGCGACGAGGTACACCGGGGCACCATCGCTTTCCGTATCAAATTGCTATTCCCATAGGTGGCGATGTCGAAAGCGCTCAACGCAATGGTCGACAAGACGGACGGATGGTCCGTCGACAAGCTCGTCGCCGAAGTGCACGCGTTGCATCTGCTCGGCGCCGCCCACGAAGCCGCGTTTGATCGCACCGCGCTCCTTGAGGTGAGATCTTTTTATGAGGCGGGAATTCTTAGGATCTGCTGCACCTGTAGGCGGTCACCGAGCGCGTCGCTCACCACTAAGGACCACACTATTCCATTGTAGTATAGTAGCTCAAAGCTCCTTGCGAGAGTATTACCAGAGAAGAGTCGCTTGCTTCAACCGCTGGCCCAACTTCAACTCTGTGACGGCCCTCAAATGAGGCGCTTTTTGCACTTGGTTGTTGTATGCGGTCCTTGCATATCCTGAACTTGCGGTGGGAAGACCGAATTGCACGCAACCGTTGTACGTACGTTGTACGTCTCGGGGTTTGTATGTTGTGTACGTACGATGAACGTCTTGGCGTTTGTAGGCCATGTACGTACGCGGACCGTCCACCGAGGTGTTGAAGTGGAAAATCTTTCAGTTTGAGATTGGCCGCCGAGCGCAACGATCGATGGTTCGTTGGGTGCTCTCGCTGCTCGCGTCCGCGTCGGCCTGCACCATCATCGCCGTGGGCAAAGACGTACGTCTAATGCATTTGATTCTTACACTAAGGTCTTATATATCCTACAGGCGTCAAGTACGGGGTCGCCGCTAGCGACGCACAACGCCGACTGCGGCAACTGCGACTTCCGCATCGGCAAGGTGCCGGCCAAGACCTTTGCGAATGGCTCGAGCCGGCCCATCACGCGCTTCCGCCTCGAGTACCCTCGCTACGGTACTATTCGGCCCCATGCGTCGCCTCTGACGACGCCGATGTAGTGGGCGACGACCGCGGTGACACGTTCAAGCTCGCCAACGTCGACACGACCATTTACAACTGGACCGAGACGCCAGCGATCGGGCATATCCCGCAGGTGCCGGCGACGTACGCGTACCTCTCGGGTCTCTACGGCATCATGAACGAGCATCAAGTGTCGATCGGCGAGAGCACGTGCGGCGGGAAGCTCGTGGCCGCGCCCATCTCGGACGGCGGCAAAGCGCTCTTTGACGTCTCGGAGCTGACGAACGTGGCCATGGAACGAACGACGAATGCGCGGGAAGCGATTGCACTCATGGGCCACCTCGCCGAGACGTACGGCTACTACGGCGCCGACTGGTCGAGTCCGAACGCGGCGCTCGAGGCGGGCGAAGCGCTTGTCGTGGCCGACCCGAGCGAAGCGTGGATCGTGCACTTTCACCCGGATGACACGGGCGCGTCCGCGGTCTGGGTCGCGCAGCGCATCCCCGATGGCCACGTCACGGCGGTCGCCAACCAGTTTACCATCCGCGAGGTCAACCTCACGGACAGCGCCAACTTTATGGGCTCGAAAACATGGTCGACGTCGCGATTCGCGCCAAGTTGTACGACCCATCGGTCAATGGCACCTTTGACTTCACGCGCGTGTACGCGCAGCCCATTACGCCCGACCAGTACTACGCCACGCGGCGCGTTTGGCGCGTCTTTACGCTCGCGAACCCGAGCCTCGGTCTCTCGCCCTTGACGGACATCTATGCATCGGACTATCCCTTCTCGGTGCCGGTCGCATCGGCCCTTGGTCCGGAGGATCTCATGCGCTACATGCGCGACCACTACGAAGGCACGCCGTTCGACATGACGCAGGGCCCGGCGTCCGGTCCGTACGGCAACCCGGACCGCTACGGTACATTATTTGCGGTTGAGATTGCTTTTGACGTTGAGTTTGCACTTTCTAGACATCAACGGCAACGGCAACATGACGCGCGCGACTGCGATGACGGGCCATTTTGAGCGCGCGATCTCGATCTTCCGCACGAGCTTTTCGTTCGTGTCGGTGGCCGACAAGACCGACCCGTTCCTCGGCCTCATCTGGTTTGGCCAGTACGGTCCGCACGCAACGTCGTATGTGCCCATCTTTACGCATGTGACCGAGGTGCCACGCGAGTACTCGCGCGGGTCGCTGCACATGTACGACATGGAGGCGTCGTTCTGGGCGTTCGCGATCGTTGGCAACTGGGCCTCGCGCTTCTACCGCTTTGCGCACCCGGTCGTGGCCGCGGTCCAAGACAAGCTCGAATCGGCGGCCCGGGCCGCGTTGCCGTCGATCCAGGCGCAGGCCGCGTCGCTGGCGTCGACAAAAGGCGACGACGCGCTCCGAACGTACCTCACGACGCAGTCCAAGCAGCTCGCAACGAGTACGCACAGCGCGTTCGTGAGTCTCTTTGGGACGCTAGTGACCAGCTTCCACGACGGGTACGTCATGCACAACTTGACCTCTGCGACGCTCTCGGCGCAGTCGCTCTTTTACCCGCAATGGTGGCTCGAGGACGTCGGGTACTTTGCCGCGCACGACGACATGCCGACGTTCATCACGAGCAACGAAGGCGCGTCGACCATGTTCTTCATGGGCGTCTTCCTCCTCGGATCCTTCGTCTGCCTCGCGGTCGGGTTTGGCCTCGGCATGTACCGCCAGCGCGGCTACGTGCGCATCAACTAACGGCATCCAATATACTACCTGGCTCTTCTTCTGTTCCGCACCATGCAGCGAGTCGAGTCCCGTGCTATACCAGCCTGTGACTGGATACGGATTGCGCTCACTTTTCATTGAATCTCAAGTTGCCCGCGTAGCTCGTGGTTTTGGATGGTCAAATGCGGATCAAGCGCACGGATGAGGTCGACAAGGACAGTTGTTGTTATCGTCAAATCAAAACTCTGGCATCGCGACGCTACTGCAAGTGGACGTAGCCGCGCTTGGCGCGGTGGCTGCGACGGCCGATCGCATAGCCCAGCGCGACACTTGCGAGGGCGACAACGACGAGGACAAAGAGCACGGCGCCCGAGACAACGTCCTGGCTTGGCACGGCCGTGTTGCCATCGTAGTACCCGACGCTCTCGAGGTACCATTTCGGATACCCCATCGCGCGCACACTCATGTCCTCGTGGTCCAAGTCGCTCATGATGTAGCCGTCGTGGAAGGACGTGACGAGTGTTGGCAACAGTGCGGTGAACGCGGCGCGCGCGGCGTCCGCCCACGTTGTCGTCGCATTGGTGAGGAAGGCGGCGGCGGCGGCGTGGCCCTGCGACGCCAATAGCGCGCTGGCCTGTCGCTGGACACCGGCTTGCGCTACAAGCCAAGTAAGTCACGTACAACCACCGTACTAGTATCAATGTATCAGCGCACCTGCCACCGCGCTGGCTTCAAACACGGCTTGGACGCTGGCGACGACAGGGTGTGCAAACTTGTAGAAGCGACTTGCATAGTTGCCAACGACCGCGTTGGCCCAAAACGTGTAGCTCGGGTCGTACTGCCGGAGCGTGCCCCGGGAGAGGCTGCGTGGCACCGCGCCAATGTGCGCGTACACCGGTGCATACGCCGTCGCGTGCGGGGCATAGGGGCCAAACCTAGGCGGCGCGCATGACAATTCTGTCCATCGCTCCGAACTATACTACCAAAAGAGACTCTGGATCGGGTTCGCGGCGTCGGGCACCGTCACGAACGTGTACGTGGCGCGGTAGATGCCAATCGAGCGCTCAAACTGGCCACCTGCAGCGTTTTGGCCGACGCGGAACCGATCGGGCGAGCCGTACGGACCAGCGCCCGGGCCTTGCGTCAAGTCGAACGGCGTGCCCTCGTAGTGGTCGCGCTGGATACGCATGAGATCTTGCGGCGACAAGGGTGCCTCGACCTACACACCCCGATCTTAGCGGATCTCCATTATGGTAAGACGACGTACCGGGATCGAGAACGGGTAACTCCGCGAGTAGACGTCCGTGTACGGACTCAGCGCGAGGTTGGGATTCGCGAGCGTAAAGACGCGCCAGACGCGCCGCGTGTAGCCGTACTGCTCAGGCTCGTGCTGCTGCAGCGCGTAGGCGACGGTAAAGTCAAAGTCCTGGAGCCCATCCCAAAACCCATTGCGTCTCGCGACCTCCAACACGTTGGCCGACGCGAGGTAGTTGGCGCTGTCGGTCAAGTCGATGCCATGGATCACAAACTGGTTGGCGATCGCCGCCACGTGGTCCGCGGGCACGCGCTGCGCGGCCCAGACCGCCGACGCGCCCGTGTCATCGGGCAGAATGTGAAACATCCACGCTTCGTGTGCGTCCGTGATCGTGAGCGCTTCGCCAGCCTCCTCGTACACGTCGTCGCCTTCCCACGACGCCCCATAGTACCTGCGCGCGAGCATGAGAAGAAAAACGATGGACGCGCGCTACCCGTAGGTTTCGGCGAGGTGGCCCATGAGCACAATAGCGTCGCGCGCATTCGTCGTGCGCTCGAGCGCAATGCGGCCGAGCTCGGTGATGTCCAAGAGCGCCTTCCCGCCGTGGGACACGGGCGTCGACCAGAGCTTGGCGCCGCACGTGCTCTCGCCCATGCTCAGCTGGTGCTCGTTCATGATGCCGTAGACACCTTCAAAGTAGCCGAACGTCGCGTTCACTTGCGGAATGCGACCGATGGCTGGCGACGCCGACCAGTTGTAGAAGCCCGTCTCGAGGTTCTCGCGCGTGTACGCTGGCCCGCGAGAGTCGCCCACTACAGATGCATGCTGAGCGAGCACAGGGGGTGGGTTGCGCCTCGTACCGTAGCGCGGGTACTCTTGACGAAGCAGCGTCACGTCGCGCAGCGAGCCGGGCGTGTGGTTCATGGCTGGGATCTTGATCAAGCGAAAGTCGCAGTTGCCGCAGTCGTTCGAGTGCGTCGTCATGGGCGCGCCGGTCGTCGACGCCTGCGAGTTTCGTTAGTTCATCCGTAGTACGCCGCAAGAGATGCACCTTGGCGCCGACGAGGATCGCGGTGCAGCGGTCGGGCTCGACGTAGCGCGCGGCGACGCCGGCGACAGCGAAGAGCACGGTGCTGAGGCGCATCGAAGGTCTTTCAAATCTGTTGCGTTCCGCCCGCCTGTCCAAAGATCGCGCATCTTGATTGGCTCGTTTTGAACCAATCACAGTGCGTTCGCCAAGGCCATCACGGCGACGACCGCGACTCTGGACGAAACGCAGCAGCGTCCAGCGACGTACTGAGCGCATGCGCTTCAGTGCGAGCAGCTGGACCTAACAAGGCGCCAGTAGAAGCTGCATCGTAGCTCGCGGCGAGTGAGTCGACAGAGAACGTTGCAGTGGTGCTTGCAGTCAGCTGCGCACCTGTGTTCTCCTAGCTACTCCTTGGCTGGCTCCTTCAACGTGGTTTTTCGAACGGACTTGCGTCATCGGTATTTCCAGAGATGCGACTGCTGGCGGCAACGTGGCTTCTGCTGCTCGTCGCGGCGGCGGCGGCCGAGAGCGACCGGTGTACGGCCATCGTCGTCGGCGCCAACGTACGGCGCCAGCGCACAATAGACTCTGTTCACTAAGGATATGGTAGGCATCAACGACCGGCGCGCCCATGACGACGCAGACAGCCGACTGCAGCAACTGCGACTTTCGCTTGCTCAAAGTGCCG